CAGGGGTTGATAGATAATTACTAGGGCTGTGCGAAGCTTCGGGTGGTGATTCAATTCGGAGGAGACTCGGCCTGATTCAGTGGCCGAATCTCCGAATCAAATCAGGGGACCAATTTAAAGGTCTGAATCGATGCTGAAGCTTCAGAGAGCTTTGAAAAAATTCGGAGAGCTTTGATTCGGGCAGTTCCCGATGGCTGCAGCCACGCCAAGCTGGTAAGTACTAGGGATGGGGGAGAGGGGGCTGGGGAAGGGACCATGGGGGGACCCCTGCCAGGCCCCAACCTCCACCCCCTGCCCATAGCTGCCCTGCCCACCCCAGCTCCGGCCCTTTAAGAAAATAATTAAGAAAAAAAAAAAAGCTGAGAAAAGCCCTGGGACTTGCCACTCCTGGTGCAGCCTTGGGGCTTTGGGGGCTCCTGCAGAGCCCCTGCATAATGCGGGGCAGCGGGGATTGCCCCCACCGGCAGCAGTGGTGAGTCCTAGGGTTTCTTCAGGTTTTTTGTTGGTTTTTTTTTTTTTCTTAAAGGGCTGGAGTTGGCCTGGGGGGGGGCTCATGTAGAGCTCATGCAGTGGGGGCAGCGGGGATTGCCCCTGCCCAGCAGCACCTGCAGAGCTGGGGCATTTTTTCCCCCAAGTGCTGGGAGCTGGGGCCGGCAAGGCAGCCATTACTGGGCTGGGAGAGGGGCAGGGAATGAGCCTGGCCTGGCTGATTTGGAGATTTGACAGCAGCCAAATCTCCGAATCGGATTCGACCCAGCCGAATCGGGACAGTGATTCGAATCACCAAATCAAATTGCCATCCCCCAAATCGGCCGAATCTGAAGTGAATACTAGCCTCTTCTCACAGGCCTAATAATTACACTGTCTCCCGAGCATAGTTTGTAGATAGGACCCTGGTAGCAACCCCTTGCTTTTCAGCAGCTGGTTGTATGAGAGCTGGGTTTCCCAGCAGGATGGTGGCTTAGAACTAAGTGTCTGCCATGAGATTTGTAAGGACTTCTGGTTTTCTTGTCGAGGAGCAGGGAAGAGAAGTTTGCTTGCGCACTCTTTTAACCTCTGCCTGCAGTTACAAAAATCTGCTACTTGGATCTTCCTGTTCCTGGGCTCAATCTTGAATTTTGTCAAGTGAGAGATTCTCCAGAAACATCTATTTTTTGCAAGGGATTTGGTTAAAAAGGTGTTCCCTAAACAGATCTTTGGCTCTCTCAACCCTCACAACTAATTTTCTTGTGCATTTCTGGTTCAAGATTATGCAACCAGCATTAGTAGTGAAAACAAACAAAAGCACCTCCCCTAAGTCTCTTGGGAAAAGTGCTTTTTCTTAAAATTATTCTGGTGAATGTTTTTTAGACAAAATCCCTGGTATCTCTTTGACTGCCTGAGTTCCCAAAGTGAAGCTTTTACAGCATAGATGAACACTATATGTGGACTAATCTACTTCAGTTCACTACCCTGCTACAGATCTGCCCCTTGTCAGTGTTATATTTATTGTTTAATCTTCCTGTAGGCTAGTAGATTGTAACTTTTTTTTTTTTCAGCTTTCCTACACATAAATGTGCCCAAAGAGTTTTTTTGAATTTGGGGGTCCTCACTACATCAGGACATCTGTCAAAATGAGGCCTGTTACTGTAAAGAGAAGAGTGCAGTCACTGCATGTTGCTGCTAGCAGAAGTGATGGGAGTTTACTGCAGCTGAATATTCGGTAGGACAGATGCCCTGACATGTTATGCCTGGTAACACAGAATGATGCATTTATAAGAGGTTGAGTGAGTAGGGGGCGCCAGTCCACAGAGCAGATGGGGAAAATTCAGTAAATGAATATATCATTACATTTATACCGGGTGGTATGTGACTGTTGTCCATAGTGAGCTGGCGTGAGTGGTGGCTGTTACCATAGGTCAGTGTTCTGGAGGGCTTGTGCATGGGAGAACAAGTGTGTGTGTGTGTGTGTGCACACGCGTGTGTGACTTCTGCTGAGTTGCTAGTGATTTGCAATGAAAGGGAAACACCGAGGGAGCTTGAGGACTAGGAGGAGTTGTAGAAAGCATGGCTGGAAGGGAGTATCTACTGCACCCATTTATGTCTGTATTAACGTTTCTTATCCCTGGCCTGCAGGTCAGATCTGGCCCTTAGTGTTGCTGTCCAGCCCGCGGGGCTCTCCACAGGTCCAAAAGTTTGGTGGTAGGGAAGGGGTGGCACCACTCCCCTGCTGCCAAATCTCCAGACCTGTGCGGAGCCCTGCAAAGTGCTGGTCCCAGCCCAGGGGTCCAGCCAGATGTGGGCTGTGTCAGACCTGATCCCAGTGGGCAGAGGCAAAACTGGGGGGTACCCAATTCTGGTGTGTGGGGCCAGCCCCATGGCAATCATCTGGCCCATGGGACCAAAAATTTGAGCACCACTGCTATAGACATGTGCCATGAAGTGGTGGAACGTGGGAAATATGAGTACACGCTGCAAGGTGTCATGTATAACTGAAATGTCTTCAAATAGGGACATGCTAGAGATCACAAGACTCTGAACAGCTGCTTTGGTAAGAGTGGTTGTACTGTTATAGATGAGTATATACTAGCAGGTAATGGGGAGCTGAGGCAGGTAACTCCTACTCTAGCAAGTTGAGTTGTAACTTAGCACTGACAGTGAGAAACGAAGACTGGACCATAAGTGCTGAAGTCACTGAGTGTAGAGTTTCAGGATAAGGAGTCTAATGCAGCAAGAGGAAGAAAGGCACACTTTGTGTAGTGAAACGCGTGCGAAGCAGAAAACATTGTTTTCATTTCCTTTCTTTTAGGACAGGGAAGTGAGATTTTAGGCAGATGAATCTGTTTACTATCTCCCGTAGCCTTAAAAGGCGGGTAAGAGGTCTATCCACCTTTCTCCTTTGCATTTCAAGTTCTTCGAATTGTGTAGGGTAAATGGGGAGAGGAGGAGACTTGTTTAGTTGGAAGGGGGAGGGGAGTGGGCTGCAGTCAGTCCTCTTGCTAAGACTATGAGGAGAATGAAACAAAGGGTGAGCTGCACATGTAGAGCAGGCACCTGGCATGTGCTGACTGTTGAATAGCCCATGCTGCATTCATCTTAATCTGCACCTAAAAAGTTTGTGAAAGGCAACTGAGATGGTCTGTTTCTGGAAAAGTACTGTCCTTCATTTCTGTTTGCGCCTGTTTTGTTAATGCTGAGACAAGCCCTGGAAGCAGATAATGCAATATACCTTTTGATGGACAAGCATGTAAAATCACTTGTCACTTTGCAGTTGCTTTGCTTTTTAGTAACTGGTGAAGTGCAAAAGACCCATATACAAATGCAATGTCACACTAGCACCGGAGGTTACTTGCTGATATTTTTCCTTATTCAGGAACAGATGTCTAAGCGTCTAAAACTTTGCATCAGAAATTGTGCATGATTGTAATTCCTTTCCTTGGGATGGTTCAAATTCTTTACTTTAAAAAATCAGTGCATAGCGAGTTGAAATTGTAGGTGATCTACAAGGGGAGAGAGTGGGGGAGGTTTCTTTTTTGGCTTCTTTGTAAAATGTAAAGGCAACACACAAGCTCTTTCTATAGATTTCACTGACATGGGTTTACCTCCTGTTCTCCCGAGTCTCATGCCTCCAGAACAAGGCATGTGTAAAACTCCAGAAAACTTCCCTAGCTCTGCACTTTTTTTTGATCCTCTGAGGTACCTGTAGGGTGTTTTAATCCTGTTGCATTGGAAATGCTCCTCTGCCCCAGAACACTCCAGTCAGTTTCTTTCTGGTTGTGGTTACTTAGTGAGCTTTCCGCTGGTTTTCAATTGTTCTACCTTTGGTCTGATCAGCCAGTGCTTTTGAAGCAAGACACTGCATGGTACCCCTTTTCATGTTCAAGGTATATAGTTGTGGAATAAAGTATACTTTCCCAGCACTAAAGTGCCTTTTTTTCCTTAGTACTTTGGCCAGACCTAATGTCTTCATCTTTCCTTGAAGCCTTGGCAGTGAGGGTTTTCCAGGGGTACTTTAGGTTAGCTTATAAAGATGACTTTCTGGTGCAAGTAGCACTTGTCCATCTATTTAGGTTTGGTTTATGAGTAGTTACCATCTCTGTTAGGGATTGTATGGTAGGTACAGGGTACTGTTCAGCTCCTTGATTGACTTTTGGGATCTTCAGTCATTCAATTGAATGGATGCACTTAGTCAATACAGTACTCTGACTAGCTTTTGGATTTTTGGTTTTTTGCTCCTTTGATCTGTCATATCTCAGTTTGTGATAGCACCAAATGAAGCTCTGGCCTGTTGTGATGTGACAGGCTTCAGCCATATGCTGAGGCATAGAGTCATGTTTTTCCAAAAATGACAGGAGGAGACTGTCATGTTCTCTGACTGCTTATGCCAGCATGACGTCTGCTTTCCAGAAGGCTGAGGTTTGCAGTGCTAGGATCTGTGCAGTGGACCAGTATTTAAGATCCTGAAATGCCCCTGACAAGGCCAGTTCTTCAGGCCTGCTTGACTTCTTACTTTTCTAGTATGGTGGCATCAGTACAACAAAGCTGAAGTCCCTTCTTGAGAAGTTGCTGTGCGTGCAAACAAGACTTGTAGATCTGAACCTTTGTGTTCAAAGTGATCTTCTGTAATATTTGTGGTATTTTTGGACCCAAGGTCTGTGCAACACCAGCTACTGTTCCTGCTCTGTGATGGAAGCAGAGGGCCTTGCTACCTCTCACTGTTATTTTGGAGACCTTCAGGCAGAAGAAAATTAGTTGGATTATTGTCCGTTTCTCCAGACTAGAGCTCAAAAGTTTGTAAGAGAGACATAGGAACCGGGAGTATGTGAACTTAATGTGAGGCAGTTTGTTTCTTTGGTTTTGCCTGTGCGAATAAGGTGCTGCTTATTTGACACTTTTTAAATTCTATTTGAAACAATCTGGTTTTGAGCCTGTGGAGATATTGGAAGCAGAAGCAAAGCCAGAGATTTTACAAAGATTGAAAATTCTCCCTTTTTCCTTCACTAAGGACATCTGACACTGCTCCAAGACTCTGTGGGTCAGACTTTGGTGCCATTTGCACTGGGCCAGAGGACTCCTCTTGGATTCTTGATTTCATGCATCTTTTGAGAGACTTTTAGAGACTGCTGTTACCGGTGCTTTAATTCATGCTGGCCCTGCCTCTCCAGGAGTTTCAAAGGGTAGGTCTTTTTTGATCCTCTCTGGTTGGTTCTAACATTCTGGTTTCCCTTTTGCTCATTGCCCAACATTTTTGGAGTCTATGGTCTAAAGCAGTAGTTCTCAACCAGGATGCCATGGCATGCTGGTGTGCCATGAGATCCTTTTAAGGGTGATAGGGAATATTAGCTCTTTTAGGTATGGATATACCTACACACGAGTCATAAAATAAAGCCAGAGATTTCAAATTAGGAACCCATAGTGCCAAAAAGATTCTGACTTCTTGTGGTCTTTCTGAGTTCTTTGCAACAGAAGAATTGCTCTAATATTTATTTGTAGTTTAAAAATGAGTTGAGTCTGAGGGCTGTCTTGAATCTAAAAAGGCTGAGAATCACAGGTTGGCCAGTCTTTTATTGCTACTGTTTCTAGCTGTCAGAGTACGTGGGATTTCCTGTACAGGTTTTTCTTGGTTTGCTTTTTCTTAAAATGAATCAGGACACTAATTGTCCAGCAAGAAGCGGTTTGTTCCTTTTGGTTGTCCTGAAAGAAAACTCAAGAGAAGATACTGGTAAACAGAAAGTGCCTTTCCAGTGTGAAGATGATCCTGCAATAAAAGTGTTTCATTCGTACATTGCTTAATGAAAGTAATACCCACTTTATCCACTTGACAATTACAGATTATTTCAGGAGATGCTTTTGCCATTGAGCAGAAATTTTGAAGATGCTAATATCTGCAAAAGAAAGTACCAGTTTATCAGAGTATCAAATTATCAAAGTTTGAGCCTCTTTATGGTTATATATGAGAACAAAAAAGAAAAATAATTCTTCGTTAGTGATTGTTTTTTGTTTTTTTTTTTTAAATGTTCTCAAGTTGTAACTTAGACCATCTTTTGTTCCTTCTAGAGTCAGAAAAGCAGATGACTTGTTTCAGGTGTCTCCCGTGAATGTGAGCCTCTAGCAGCTTCCAGTACTGTCTTTGTTAGTTTCTCTAGGATCGAACAGGTACAAGTAACCAGATAATGTGTCCAAGGCAGGGCTGGATGGCTTGGGAGTGGGTGGGGCCTGCACTCGGCATCTACAAGTCTACCACGCAGGCTGCATGCTGTGGGGGCAGCTTCTTCCCTTCCCCCATCCCTGCTCCCCTGTCCCCTTACCACGCAGCCTTTGCGCACAGGCTGTCTCTTTCCCCCACTCCTCCCCACAGTGTGCACGGTGGCATGCAGACCCTGGGCCCTCCCTGCCATGTGGTAGTGGGAGAGGCAGTTGCGGGGCCTACAAAGCACTTGCTAACTTCACAGGCTGACAGTTGGGCAGCCCTGGTCTAGCAGCATGTTCCACGGAGTAATTTTTCCACATTTTAAGGGTGATAGGGTGAAAATGTGTTTAACCACACTAAGGTTACTTTACTATGATTTCAGTGATCTCTGAAATAAAGAGGTTGGGTGTCGTGTCCATTCCATTTTACATACTAAAGTCAATTTACTGTGTAGTAGATGTCATGTTTACACCCTAAGAGTCCTTTCTTTAAAAGAAAAAAGGATTCTTGATTTAAAAAAAAAAAAAAAAAGAAGAAAGCAAAAACTCAACATTTTTAGACCAGTTTTTCTTAGTATGGGGTAAATGATCATTAATTGCCAACTAGCCTGATTGATGGATTATCAATGTGCATCATCACAATTCATATACGGCTTAACCTCATAAATCTGGATATAAAAAATCCGGAGTTCTCGAAATCCAGCACTTTTTAAAAATACACTACTGTCAGATGTGGAGGCAGAATCTTGCATGTGGCGGCCACCATCACCATCTACCACCCTGAGCTGTTGCTCTGCATGCAGCTGCTGCTCTGGGACTGGCTGCTGCTGCCCCCTACCCCTCAGATGTGGAGGGGGAAACTTGCACGTGGCAACTGCTGCTGCCACCAGCCACCCCAATCCGTGTGCGGCTGCTGCTCCGGGACTGGCCACCGCTTCGGTTTCAAAAACCTGGAATTTTCAAATTTCTGGCAGGTGCTCAGTCCCAAGCATGCCGGGTTTATGAGGTTATACTGTACTGTATTGTGTCTTGTCCATAGGGAGATGCTGTGGAAGGTTAATCCAAATTCATTTTTAAAGCGGATTAGTTGGGAAGCATATGGAGAGGGGCTCCCCAGTTACGGAGCTAGATCTGTCTAGAGCAGGGGTGGCCAACCTGCAGCATGTATGCCACAAGTGGCACAAGTAGTCTCTATGTATGGCATGTGTCAGATAAGGCAGGGAGCAGAAAGCAAATTACATGGGGAAGGAGGATTGGAGTGGCACTTGGGGAGGGTATAGGGCTAATTTGTGGCATGCCTGCCAAAAAGGTTGGCCCCCACTGCTCTAGGGTATTTATTTCATCTGCTGCTTTTTATGCAAGTGGTTCTTTACACATTCAGGACTTTCAGAAGCATTTTAAAACACAGTCCTATTTTAATTGGACAGTTGGGCCACTTTGGTTTACATCGGGGTGTGTGACTTAGTGCCTCCTTTATTGGAACACCAGCAGTTGTAGAATTGGGACTCTGTTCCACAAAATGTTCTTTTTGTAACTGGTGGAGAAAAATGTAATCCTAAACTGAATCAATCTGCTGCAGATTCTCGTGAGTAGATTAAGGAGTGGCAGATCCAGTCCAGATATGGATTTCTTTACCACTCAGCAGAACAAGAAGCCACCTGCCTTCACAAGATCAAGAAAAAGAATGTTAACAAGGTGCTTTCTCTATCCAATAATGTGTGCCTTTTCACCAGTCCTTCTGATGACAATGCTAATGGCCTCCTTCATTCAAACAGAGATGGGATTTGATTTTTTTTGTTTGTTTGTTTATTTTTTTTACTTTGGGTTTTTCAGAAATTCTTGGTAGTTTAATGCATTCACTCTAAGCTGTGGGCTGGATAAAATGCAAATATACGTGGCCTGTGGCAGGGCTTTCTGACTTCTGAGCAGCCAGGGGCCCCACACTCCCAGCCTTCTCCCCCCCAGGGTCAGATGCCATGCTGTACCACGTGGTTCCTCCCCTCCCTGCCCTAGCCACAGTGCACAGTAGGTTCCCCTGGTGTTCCCACACACTGTACTGCATGCTTCCTCTAGCCGTGCTGTTCAAGCACTCTTGTGCCACGCAGGAGTTCCAGGTTCCTGGATCCCCGAGTCCACTTGTCCTGGGCTCCTTCATCCCCATGGGCTGCCCTGCCCCATCCCCCTTAAGTGGGAGCAGGCAGTGGAAGCTGGAGGAGGGGGGGGAGCCTGGAAACTCTGGCAACTGTGGCAGCAGCTGGAGTGATGGAGGGATCGGTGCCTGGACTAGAAGCCCTTGGGTTACAGATTAACCCCTTAGGGGTTACATGTGGCCTGTGGACCATTACTTGGGCTATGGAAATGTTTTCTGCTGTCTTCTGGTTCAGAGGATCGTTATTGACCCTCAGTATATCTTGTGGAGCACTATACAACTTTATCACTAAACTCTTAAGTGAAGAGTGGGGAGCTCCAGTGGGATGCCACAGTGTGATATGCCTGTCAGCTTCTTGGAGTCTTGCTTTCTACCACTTCTGCTTAAGGCCTTTTTTCTCCATGTTCAGTTTCAAATGATCAAAGTGCCTCAGTTCTCCAGAAAAGCTTGTGTGACATTGGGGTATAAAAGGGAACTTTAAAACATCAACTGAGTTCAGTGTAAATTGAGACTGTCCAGGAAGGAGTGAAGAGTGGGGAACTTAAGTCTGTGAAGATTCAGTCTAGAGTAGATCAAGGGTTGAGGGCCTTGGCAGGCTAGTAAGGTGAACTTGGCACTTCGACATGTGGGTGAAAATGTTTCTAGCATGGCTGGTCTTTCATACAAGTGCCTGTAGGAAAAACTTGTCTGGCATTGTTCACCTGAAAAAGATGCCTATTAGCCAATAGGGCTGTGCAAAGCTTCAGGTGGTGATTCAATTTGGAGGAGATTTGGCCCGATTCAGTGTCCGAATCTCCGAATCCAAATCAAATCAGGGCCAATTAAAAGGTCCAAATCGATTCAAAGCTCTCCAAATCTTCAGAAAAGATTCAGAGAGCTCTGATTCAGGTAGCACCTGGTGGCTGCAGCAGGGAGCTACAGCTGACTCTGAGCTGGTAATGACTAAGGGGGGGGGAGACCGCCAGCCTCCCCTGATCCCCAGACCACCCTCCACAGCTGCTTCCCCTGCCCCAGCTCCCGGCCCTTTAAAGGAAAGCCCCGGTGCTCACTGGGTGCTGCCGGGCCGGGGGGCAATCCCTGCTGCCCCCCACTGCCCCATGCTGCATGGGGGACACTGCACAAGCGCCCTGCCCAGGCTAGCTCTGGCCCTTTAAGAAAAAACAAATGAGAAAAGCCCTGAGACTTGCTGCTCCTGCAGTGGCCTCGGGCTTCGGGGGGCTCGTGCAGAGCCCCCCACATGGCGCGGAGTAGTGGGGGGCACTGGGTATGGCTCCTGCCAGCAGGAACAGTGAGTCTGGGGGGTTTTTGTTGGGTTTTTTTTTCCTAAAGGGCTGGAGCTGGCCTGTGTGGGGCACCTGTGGGGGGCTGAGGAAGTGAGGGGGGGGCAGGTCGGGGGGCTCATGTCCTTTTTTTTTT